CGGCCCATCGGGCGCCGTGGCGTGTACCACGCAAACGCCCAAGCCGGAATCCACGGTATATGATAAGGCCCGTGGGGTCGTAGGCGGGGTGGTGTCGTTTGTTTCCTGGTCCAGGATAGGGGGATGATCAGTGGATGCCAAGGTCGGTCACATCTGGCCGAAGCTGGTTTATCAACGGGTTACATATGCCCCCAGTGGTTTTAGGGGGTTACGGATCTGGGCGAAGTGGCCTCCGCCCACTTTACTGGACGTATCTAACCTCCGTGAGTTACTTGGGGGATGTATGTATGTAACCCGCGTGTAAGTCTGGTCAGGCCCGATATGCACCACTGTGCCATCCAGTGGTGACCCTCCCTATTATCCCCTTAGGTTCCCCCCGCGCCGGTCCCAGAGGCCGCCAACATCGCATCGCACGCAGCGGCCAGGAGGCCGCGCACCAAAGGCCACTGTTGCGTGTGGCTGGTGTGTGCCTCTCTGGCCAGACCAGGTGGGGGGGCATGTACACCGCTCCCTGGGGCCCAGGGGTGGTCCCGGTCAGGGGCGGTGGACGCGTATCGGGGCTCTAGAGACGGGGGTCAGTGCAAATGGGGGTCAGTCAGAGCGCTGGGCCTTGCAGGATCCTGCAGAGCCATGGTTGCATTGACACCGGGCTTGGGTGCAGGATCCCGCGGGATCCTGCAGGATCTTGCGAGCCTGACTGACCCAGGTCTGGCTTGACCCGGGTCAGTAGATCCTCGGCTCCCAATGCCAGGTTTCAGCTTAGCTTCTGAGCGGCCAGCTCATGGAGCCCGTTTCTTTATTGCTTGGGGCATGACTGGCGTCATGGCCCCCGCTCCCCCCCCTAACGTTCCCCCCCCTCCAGTGCGCTCCGGGCACTGCCGCCGTGCGCATGGGGATCCCTGTAGGTGTCCGCATAGGAATCCGCATAGTACTGGACCGCAGTCGTCGTCGTCGTCGTCGTCGTCGTCGTAGTCGTCGTCGTCGTCGTCGTCGTCGTCGCTCATCGCTCATCGCTCATCGCTCATCGCTCATCGCTCATCGTCGTCGTGCGCGCGGACGCGGCTGGAGCCTGTTTTTTGTTCTGGGCCGATGACGGCAATCATCTGGAGGGGGGTCAAGGGGGTCGATGACGTCACGCTTCGCGCCGGCAGCGTGTGGGAATGCCTAGGAATGACGGATGACGGGTAGCACCAGCATGTAGGTGGCGATCTGCACCACATCGCGCGTGTACACCACAGTGCCCGCGTGCACCACAGCGGGCGTGTAGACCACATCGCCCATGTACACCACAGCAGCCGCGTGCAGCACAGCGCCAGTTTGTGCCACCGAGCCTGCGGGCACAACAGCTCTTGTGCACACCGCAGCGCCTGCGTACACCACATCAGCCGTGTGCAACACAGCACCAGTGTACACCACAATGCCTGCGTGCATTGCAGCACCTGTGTGCACCACGGCGCATGTGTGCACTACAGCAACCGTGCGCAACACAACACCACTGTTGTATAGAGAGTGTTCTTAAAAAGCCGTATGACAAAATGGAGCGATTGTGGATCCCAAAGAAAAACTAAAAAAAACATCTTTATGGACAAAGGACCGCCGCTGGAATCTACGAGTCCTCCCGAGTCCGCCCGCATCACCCTAACTTTTCCCACTTGCGCACAGGAAACTCCAGCTTAAATGGCCGTCCAAGAACCAAGTGGGCCGATTCAATAGACCATTTTGCGGTGCACGCTGAGATGCGCACGTGCGCTGCAGCGCCAACCCGCACGACAGGGGGTTAGGAGGAGGAGGAGGAGGAGGAGGAGGAGGAGGAGGAGGAGGAGGAGGTGGAGGTGGAGGTGGAGGAGGAGGGACAAACGTCGCATTCGATTGTCAGCATTTTCTTGGCGTGGCGCTGATTTGTCCGCGGCAGGTCCTCAGGTACATGCTCCTTCTACCTGTCCTATGCACGCAGGCAGTGTGGTGTACACCAGCGCTGCGTTGCACGCGGATGTTGTGGTATAGACAGTCGCTGTGGCGTGCACAGGCGCTGCGGTGCACGCAAGCACTGTGGTGTACACAGGCGCTGTGTTGCACATGGTTGTTGCAGCGTACACATGTACACTGGCGATGTAGTGTACGCGAGCACTGTGGTGTACACAGGCGCTGCGTTGCACACGGTTGCTGCGGTGTACGCAGGCGCTGTGGTGTACACGCGCGGTGTGGTGCACGCGGGCGCTGTGATGTACACAGGCGAACTGGGGCTGATCGCCACCTACATGCTGCTCGCGTCGTCGTCGTCGTCGTTGTCGTCGTCACTCGTCGCTCGTCGCGTCGTGCGCGCGGGCGCGGCCGTGGTGCCGGAGCCACACGGCGGGGGGGGGTGTTACGTCATACTCCCCCCCCGTCCCCCCTCCCCCCCCCATGACGTCCGTCATGGCCGACCATAATGAAACGCGCTCATGCCGGCGCCTCGGCGCTCACCCGCCGCACCCTCGTAGGTGCCTTGACGCGGTCTCCTGTCTGGTCATGTCAGTAGATCCCCGAGTGGAGGTCGTGGAGGTGCTGCCCCCGTCGTTGTCGGGCTTCGTGGCCGCAGAGCTGCGCGGGGCGGGCGTGGACGCTGCGCGGCACAAGTTCGGCTGCCGCATCGTGTGCCGGCTGCTCGAGCACACCGCGCTCAGCGCGGAGACCACGGCGCTGCTTGACGAGATCCTCGTCGAGGCTGTCGATCGGCGTGGTCGATCGGTGGCGAGCGATGGCGGGGCTTCTCAGAAGCCCTCCAGCCTTCTGAGAACTGTTGTTTTTCATCTTCGGTGAAGGCTCAGGAACACTCTCCGAAGGCCAGGAGACTTCCGAGCCTTCTGAGAAGGCTTGCCTCTTCTCACATCCTTCCTGGGCTCGCCGCCACAAGTCGAAGAAGAACAGTTTCGGAGAGGGAAAAGGTACCGATATCGCTGCTCGTCCTGAAGAGCTCTCATCGCCACGGCTGGATTTTCCTCGACATACTGGTCAAAGCGCATTATTGGAATGGTCCAGGGGGAGCGGTGTTGGTACCATTTGGCTTCCTCACAAAAGGCATTAACAGGCTCTTTCGGATGTCCGCAAGGATTCCTTGGATTTGCGCTGGACCCCCACCCCGGGCTCGCGAAGCAGGAGCGGCGCCAGAAGCGCCGCAAGGGGGGTGAAATTCTCGATCCGAGGAATCAACGCGGAACTCCGAGAGTGTTTGTTACACTGTTTGTTTATTCAGATCGATGAATCATCTTCTAGGTGGTAAGGTTCCTCAGCCCCCCCCCCAGGTAGCCTTGGCTGGCCTTAAAAGGTGCTCGACACCCTCGCGCGTTTTTCCAGCGTCGCCCCTGAGGCGCTCCGCGACCCACGGTTGGGGTGTCGAGGCTACCCTGGGCTACTTGGGGGGCCGATTGAGGCCAACCAGGACTACTTGGGGGGATGTCTGTGCGCAGCCCTCGGAAAAAAAGTACGACTTGAGTTCACGGGAACTCGGGTTTGCCGCTGCTTCTCTCAAGCAGTGGTGAAGCGTCCAGGCCTGCCAATAGGCCCACCAACAAATGTTCGCATGTTTGGTGGCTTGCACGACAAGTTCTTAAAACTTGTCTGGCTGGGGTTATCTTGTTTCAACACATCGGCTTTCTGTTATAAGAGCTTGAAAATGTTTGGCTCTAAAACAATTTCGTGATAGGCCTACAGAAATGCCTGGACGTCCGGTCCCTACTCAATTATCGACGGGCGCGTCCTGAATCTTGACGGTCCAGTTTTCGTGAGATGTTTGCAGCGGGAGCTCGCGTCAAATTTGAGAAAGGGCCTCGTCATTTTCCAGACCGCCCCGTCAGGCCAACCCGAGTCCCCCAGATCAGTATCTTTTAACCGACCCCTCTAGGCTGGCAAGCTCAGCCGCCACACCTTCGGTCACCACGTGGTACAATCCGTCCTGGAGCACGGCTGGCCCTGGCACCGCAGGGTAGTCCTCGACGCCCTCCGTGGGGACCTCCCGCGGTGCTCGCGGAACCGCAACTCCAGCTACGTGGTCGAGAAGGCGCTGACCCATTGCGACGCGGAAGACCGCGCGGCCATGGCGCGGGAGTCCTGGGGAGGAAAGGTGCCGATGCCGCTAGAGACTGTTTTTGAGGGTCTGGCGGATCAGCCCAGCTATCGGGCCCGCCCGCCGCCCCCCCCCCCTTGGATGACCTGATTTTGTCACTTGCACAGGTTGGAGGTAGCGGTGCGCGCGGGCATACATGGGGCTGCCCAAAGCGAAACGCTTAGGATATCGGCAGGCACCTCCCCTCCCTCCCCCTTCCGGATGACCCAGCTTAGCATCAGAAGGGAAGCATCTGCTGTCTCTTACCCGTGCCTCGTCTCGTGTTTCCGGGGGACCTGGGAGGCCGTTGTCGCCACCGCTGGGTTAGCCCCGAGATCCTGGGCAGCGCGCGCCTGGGAGAGGTCCAGGGAGCAGGGGCAGGGGCAGGTTTCTGGGCCTCCCCAGGAGCTGCTGACCAGCTTCGACGACGTGCTGCAGCTGGCGCAGTGCCAGTTTGGCAGCAACGTGGTCAAGGCCCTCGCCAGGCTGCCCGACGACTGCGCGGAGGCCGCCGTGGCCCGGCCGGGCCGTCCCCGGGGCACGCGATCGGCGGCCTTCTGGGACGAGCGTTGGGGGTTGCTAAGCAAGGGCGCCCCCGAGGGCGCGACGCTAGTGGCGCTTCGCGGTTCGCGGTTTGGCTCCGATTCCTCTTCGTCCTCCCCTTCTGCCTTGGGGGGGTGGCGCGAGAGCGCGAGGTCATTCCGAAGAACTTCGTGCGGGGATGGGGGGGTGATCATGGGGTGCCAGGGTGGGTCATAGCTGGCCTAGCCCAGCTTTACGTAGGTTACAAGTGCCCCGCGTGGCTTCGAGGGATTAGCGATCTGGTCGAAGCGGGCTCCGTCCACTTAGCGGAACTTGGGGCGGCCAGCTATAATTCAGAGCCCCCAATCATGGGGGGTATCTCGGGTCAGGGCTAATTCGGGATCGATTTTCGGGAATCCGAACCCGAGTTGCCCTGGGCCCGAGTTACCCCGGATAACTCGGGCGTCCAGAGCCCCAATTCATCAGGGTAACTCGGGTCAGTGCTATCTCGGTTCATTTTTCGGGAATCCAAACCCGAGTTACCCCGGATACGTCCGGCGCCCAAATATTCCACCGTGGCATCATTTGGCAACCCCAGATCCCCTTAGCAAACCCCCACGCCCATCCCAGGACGCTCTCCTGGCCAGCCCAGGCCAGGACGGCGAACGCACTGATCGCTGGCCCAGGACAGGCCATCGTTAGTATCATTTAACCCATCCCCATCCCCATCCAGACCCCTGCCATCTCATCCCCCCAGTTGTGGATATACCCTTCGAAATCTGTCAGAAACTGCCTATATCCCCATCTAGGGGGTAAACCAGCCAGTTGGGCCCAGGCCACGCCAGTGGGGATAGGGATCGGTTAAACGTTGCTCAAATAGTGCAGGGTGAGTGTTCGGAGGTCCCCGACTCCGGATGCGCTGATTTTGGGGTGATTTTCTGATTGCAGCAGATCGTGCCAGAAGTGCAAAGCAGCGACGGCGAAGTAGGGCGGAACTCGGCATCGAGGAGGAGCTCGAAGAAGTATGGCGGAACTCCGCCCCACCTGCGAAACCGCCAAAAGTACGGCGGATCCGGAGTCGGGGGTTGCCAGAGATGATCCTGGCCCAAAGTGCCAAGGAGGAGGAGGAAGGAGGAGGAGGAGGAGGAGGAGGAGGACGATGAGGGGGCTGGGTTGGGTGCGATCGAGGATCCCTGCAGCAATCAGGAATCAGGAATCAGGAGGAGGAAGAGGAGGAGGAGGAGAATGAGGAGGAGGAGACCTGGCCGCCCCCCCAGGAGCAGCGGGGTTTACCTTTGGGGTTATGTTGCTCCCATCGTACTTAAGGACCACATCCCAGAAATAATTTTGAGCACCCAGAAAAGTATCAAAACAGTGTCGAACGAGTATCGCCTCCCAAGGCCCGACACGTCAAAACTCTCCGGCTTCGGTCCTTTCTTGGTGTTCGGAATTCTTTCTGGTGATCAAGGCTAAAGTAGGTTGGAACATCATAACTCTGGGGCCGAGGCCACCTGTGGCATGGTCCCCTGGTTCGCAACTCCTGGGGCGTAAGTTCAGCATCGGCGCTGTCGGTTCACCTCTGGGGCCCAGGCCACGTATGACAAGGTCCGCTTGGTCGCGATTCCTGGGGCGTGAGTTGAGCATCGGCGCTGGGTGTTCACCTCTGGGGCCCAGGCCACCTCTGGCAAGGTCCGCAAGGTCGTAACTCCAGGGGCGTAAGTTTAGCATCGGCGGGGGCTCACCTCTGGGGCCCAGGCCACGTCTGGCAAGGTCCGCTGGGTCGTAACTCCTGGCACGTGAGTTCAGCATCGGCGCTGGTAGATCCGCGGTCGAGAACTGTCCTACCTCGGCCTGATCCGACGTAATCTTGCTCACTCCTGCCAAATCCGCGTTACGTACTCTCATATAGCTCTGTCCGATTCAGTGGCCGGACCCTTGCCACAACGATAGCGGAAATGATGTCCCTATTGCTCTTTTGGCAAGCTAAGTCGGCACTGTTACCTTGCAAGCGCATCAATTCGAATGCAACTCCTGGGAGGTGGACCTCGGCATTGGCGAGGGTATATCCGTGGTCGACAGCTGGCCTAACCCGGTCTGATCCTGTTTTATCCCGTCAGGTGTCCGTTTCAATCCCGCGCCAATCTTTCCAAAAATCCAGTCTGTTCCTGGCTGCATCTGGCGCGGTCTGGCCCAGTGGCCCCCAAATTGTGCTGAATAGCCCTTGATCGTTCTTGCGAAGACCTTTCGGGAGTTTCCGGGCGGGGCTAGGACGGGGGTGAGTCCTTTCAGAGCATTCCGGAATGATCTCACAGCGTTCTGCAGCGCTCTGAGGGGGCCGCGGTGCCCCATACATCCTCCAGAACAGACGGATCTCAGAGATCCACGATGTGTCCTGGTCCGCTTCTGTCCCTGTCCTGGCTTCGTCTTAGAGGAGCTGCCTTGAAGCCCACTGCCCCGCGTCCCCTCCGAGGTTGTCCTCGGCGTCCTCCGTTCCGCCGCCACGACCCTCGGGGAGTCGAAGTACGGGAGGCGGCTGCTGGAGGACCTCGGACTGGGTGCCGCGCCCTGAGGCCGCGAGGCCTAGCGCGAGGGTTTTTTTTGTTGTTCTGCTTGTATGTTTGTTTGCTTGAGTGCTTATCGGGGAAGGGGGAAGAAGGAACAAACAACGCCATAAACATAAACTGTTGGCGCTCCACGCCGGTTTCTTGGATCCGCGCTGGGCCCCCCCTGCCCCGCGGCGCCTCCGGCGCCGCCCCTGGCTTGCTCCGCGCGCCAGGGAGGGGTGCCCAGCGCAGATCCAAGAATTCCGCGCGGAGCGCCAAGAGTTTATGTTTACAGCGTTTTATGCTTCTTCTTCTTCTTCGTTTTCTTCTTCTTCTTCGTTTTCTTTTTCGTGTTATTATTCTTCTTCATCTTCCAGAAAGAACAGGTGCTAATACCGCTACCCTTCCCGTGGTTTCGCCTTTTCGGGCCTCCTGGAAGTCATTCGCCGCCGCGGCTGGATTCGCCGCGCGGTCCTGGTCAGAACGCGCCCGTGGCGAGGTCCCGGGGAGTAACTGTATCGGTACCTGCCAGTTTCCCCAGTTTGGGCTTCTGCGGGTCATTGCAGGGCCATGTGGTCGTGTGGGTGAGAGGTTTTGCGACCCCGCATTGGAGCATACAAAGCGGCCTAGGTCTCTAGGCTGGGGCTCCTCAGAGCGCACCGCATCGTCGATGTATCGACAATGCCGCGCGATTCGAATCCCAAATTGTCAACACTTGTTTGCCAGCGTGCACTCCAAGCAAGGAGTTTTAGCATAAGCTACGCGGTGCATGCTATGTGGTCCAAGCTAGATGCGCAGCAAGCAATGTTGTGCAATAGATATGCGTACATGCAAGATGTGCGGCGTAAGCACTGTATTAGTTATGGTGCAGGCGGGGGAAGTAACGTGGTGCAAGCTTCGTGGTGTAGGGTATGTGGTGGAAGCCTTGTTGAAGCCATGCGGTAAAAGCTGAGAGGAGTACGCAGGTGGTGCAGGCTCATGATGTACTGCAAGCAATTCGATTGAGCAGCTCTCGGGACGCGTACAGTCGAGGCGCTGAAGAAGGAACCCTTTCTGTTCGGGAGGGGCTCCGTGTTCCTTCGTTGTTTTCATGTTTGCCTGAGGTTTGCCGTCGGTTGTCGATCGGACATATAGGTTAAACTGAAGGTAGAGAAGATGCCTCGTTCCTCGTTTGGGGCTCCTGGGGTCATTGTCCCGACGGTACTGCAAGCAGCGAAGTGATGGAGCAGCCCTCGGGGCGCCCACGAGGCGCCCACGGCCGTCCACCGGGCGAGACTTTTGGGCAGACCCCGGCCAGCGCACGGGGGCGCCCACAGAGGCGCCCACGGTCGCCCACCACGCAATCCCTCTTCTACAGATGCATCCATGTACTGATCAAACTGTGTAGCCTCTACAGTGGGGGCGTTGACCTCAGGAATGATACGTAAGAAACGAGGCCCCTTTTTCCCTTGCGTTCAACTTCTATGCCCGATCGAGCACCGAAGGCAAACCTGCAGCAAACAGCAGAACAACTGAGGAACACGGAGCCCCTCCCAAACGAAAAGGGTCCCTTCGTCAGCGCCCCGCTTGCAAGTGAAAGCAGCGGTTCGGTAACACTGCGAAGGTCCGCGCGGAGTCCTGGGCCTGCGTTCGATCTGACTGTGCCTCCCTCGCCGCCCCCCGTTTGCTCCGGTCGGGCGAAGAGAACTATGCACATGCACCGATCTTGGCAAGGCCCATCCTTGACCCAGGATCGGTGCATATGCCTTCCTGGCCAAGGTCGGAGGGCGTATGCACCGATCCTGGGCTCAGGATGGGCCTGGCCAGAATCGGTGTTTGTGCATAGTTTTGTTTCCTCTATCCGGGAGGGTGTTTCAGCGCTGATCAAGAAGTCTGCGCGGACCCCTGAGCATTTGTGTGTCTGCCGTCCCCTCTTCTGGCAGTCGTGAGCCGCGTCCTCTCCACCTGGCACTTCTGGTGCACCTCCGATGCACGGGCGCCCACGGCCGAGGCCTGAAGCTGCCGGCCCTCGACCTCCACCTCAGCTGCTTCTTGGCCGGCACGGTGCTGCGCCGTTAATTATCTGCTTCCCGTGCGCTGTGTCCCAGCCTCGTTCTGACCGCCCTCTGGAATTTTCCTTGCGGGCCGCGTGTGTATATATATATATATATATATAGATATGTATATGTATATATATATATATATATATAAAACACGGGCGCCCACGGCCGAGGCTTGAAGCTGCCGACCCTCGACCTCCACCTCCCGCACCCTCCGGGCGGCAGGCGCCACGCAGCGGCCGCCGCCGGCGCGGCCGCAGGGGCGTCGAGGGCGCGGCGGCGGTCGCCGCGGCCGCGCCGCGGCGGCGCCTGCTGCGCGGAAGGTTCGGAAGGTGGAGGTCGAGGGTGAGGATGTTCCAACCTTTTTTTAGCCTTCTGGGTAGTCGAAGGCCAGACTGTCAGATTGGATTGGGCCCCAAGGGCCAATCTGGCCTGGCCAAACTGGATGATTTGGGTTATTCGCCCGACTGGATTCGCGTTGGCTCCCTCGCCAGATTGCCCCCGTTTGCCAGATTGGGCCTGCCAGATTGGCTTCGACGACCCAGGCCTTGACCACCAGAAAGAACTTCGAGCGCCAGAAAAGTACCCTCAAACTCGATGGTTTTCACGCGTCGGGTCCTGGGAGACACTCGTCCGACACTGTTTCGACACTGTTTCGACACTCTTTCGACACTGTTCGGGGTGCTCGAAATTATTTCTGGGATGTGGCCCTCAAGTACGATGGGAGCAACATAAGTCGAGGGGAGGGGAAGAGGCAATCACCAGAGGAGGTCGGCGATGTAGGCTCGGGGTCGCTCCGCGACGCCTGGAGAATTTGCGCCACAGAAACGCGGAGAAAGCCGCGCTTCCCGCTTCGCGGTCTGGGTTCGGGAGGTTGTAGCTTCCCTCTCCATTGGGCCCGAAGCGAGGTCGCGAACATGGTCACGCTTGGCGCATCTTGAGGGCTTGAACGCTGGTGACATTGATGGCCACTGGGCTTGCTGGTTGATCAAAACGCCCTGGGCGTTTTTTTCTCATGGTGAGCAGCTCTACGCGCGGTGAGCCAACATCGTGCACCCGCAAACGGTAAAAATAACAGAGCCCAAACACTGTACAAAAACGCTTCGTGGCAAACACATGGACACTGTACAAACAGGTGTGGCTCAAGCTTCAAACGGTGCGAAACCATACCCTTGCAAATCATGAAGTACCAGGTTGGCGAATAGAGGAATTGGTGACCGAGCCCCTCGGTCTCGCCGACCAGTGAGGACTCAGACGTAACGGTCTCGACGTCCAGATCGTTATGCCAGAGTCCTCCATGCTCGGCGGGCCAAAGACGACTAGTCTCCTCATCCTTCCTCCCCCCTGTATGCCAGAGTCGCCTCGCATTTCTTGGAGGGTACTGAACACGTTTTGAAAACGTATTGAAGACGGTCCAAAGCAGCAAGGTTCGATCAGTTGTGGACCCAGTAGGAAGATATCAACGGTAGTAATAATAATAATAATCATCAGAATAATAATAATACTAATAATAATACTAATATTAATAATAATAATATGAATAATAATACTACGCATTGGTGAGATCACCCAAACGGAAATACCTGGAACAGATCCATGGATCTAGGGCTTGCTCCCTCGAGGAGTGCATGCCAGCCTTCTTCAAAGTGGCCAGGGCGCGTCCCCAGCTCGCTGCACGCTGCTGCGCGCAGCCCGCCCTTTCTGCAGCACCGTGCTGCTGCTGCTGCTGCTGCGTGCTGCGGTCTGCTCCTGCCGACGGTTGCCTGCCTACTTGCGCTTGCGAGCACACGTCCAGACAAAGACAGCATGACTGGACAGACCTGGAAACTTCCAAAACCAGAGTTGTAAACTATGCTAAAAAACGCTTCGTGCAATCAGCGTTGCAAACTATAAAACAACACGTGTTGTGGCGGAGATCTGGAAATGATAGAAAACAAACGACAGATGAAGACTATTGAAACACGCTTTTGGGCGTGACAGCTGTAGTTAGAGCAAACAAAAGCGCCCAGGGCGCGTGTGCTTGCTGTTGGCCTGATAGCACGGTTCAGGGAGCTGATGCGCTCCGTCGAGCCCCGCACTGGGGTTCCACTCGCGCGTTGTGGGCAGACGGGCGTGCGGCTGCATTGTACAGAGCCGTTGTGTAGCCGTGTACAGATTGAGCGCCCGTTTTGTCCGATGAAGAAAGCAGCGAAGCTCCCAACATTTTCCTGGGCCCTGGTTTCGGCCCCTACTGGAACTCCTCCGCTCTCTGCTCATCCTTCTGCTCCTCCATCCCCTCATCCTCATCCTCTTCCTCCTCCTCTTCTTCCATCTTCCATATCTCCCTTCTCCTCCAATATCTCCCTCCTCCTGCTCTTCACCAATTCCCGTCCTCTTCCTCTCCCTCCACCTCTTCAATGCCACAATCGTGGAGGTCACGAAGGCCTCTTCTCAGAGTCCTCTTTCAGCATGTCTCCTGGCGGCCCGAAGGCGGGCGCTTTGCACACAGGCGCCTGGCCGAACTTCAGCGTACATCATGAGCTCATTCATTCATTCCTGCCACTTCTCGTCCCTCGTCAGAGTCCATTTCGATCAGATCGATCCGGTTCGATGCCGCTTTTGGCCGCCCCGATCCGAGCCAGTTCTGATATTACGACTAACCGGCGCGGCCCATGCTTGCACGACGCCGTTCTGCATCCTGCCGCAGCCGACCCGACTCCATTCCGACTCCGTGCCGATGCGGTCCCACCCGACGATTTCGATCCGACCGGTCTCCCGATTCGATCTTGGCCGATCTCGCCAGGAGTCTCGAGGCGGGGGCCGCTGCCCACGGGGGGGTCGGTCGGAGCGCCGGCTCATTGCAAGACCTCGCAGGGCCATGGGGCACTTTTTTGGCCCGGGCCAGGGGCGCAGGAGCCTGCAGGATCTCGGAGCCCCGAATCACCAGGGGCAACTCGGGTCGGGGATCACTCGGGTTCCTTTTTCGGGAAGCCAAGCCCGAGTTACCCCGGGCCCGAGTTGCCCCGGAGAACTCGGGCGCCCAAGAATCCTGCAGAGCCCCGTGGGTCTCCGAGCCTGCCCTGTCGGCCAGGAGGCTCGCTGGAGGCTCCACGGGCCCCCCGCGGCCGCAGCCGGGGGCGGGCGGTCGTGCGCGGCCTTGCCTTCCTCGGTCCTCTGCCTCTCCGATGCTCGTCCTCTTGACCAATCCCCTGCTTCTTCCTCTTCCCCCTTCCCCCCCTCCTCCCACCTCCTCCTTCGCCAGTCCCCTTCCTCCCCTTCATCCTCCCCCTTCTCCTCCTCCCCGCCCCGCCCTTCCCCTTCACCAGTCCCCTTCCTCCTCTTCCTCCCCGTTCTTCCTCCTGCCACTTCCCCCCCTCATCCTCCTCTTTTTCTTCCTCCCTCTTCCTCTTTCTCTTTCCCCGTTCTCTTCACCATTCGCCTTCCTCCTCAATTACTCCCCCTCCTTCTCCTGCCACTCCGCCCCCTGGCAGTCGTCTGGTTATGACGGGCTCCCCACGACTCCGAATCGCGGGAGACCCACCGACACTTCGACGATAGGCAGTCCGCGAGGGTCTCCCTCGACCCCCGCCGTCCGCAACCCTCGGACGGCAGGTACCGCGCAGCGGCCGCCGCCAGCGCGGCCGCAGAGGCGGCCGCCATCGAGGCCGCGGCACCTGCGGCGCGGACGTTTCGGAAGGCTTTTCGGGCTTCCCATACCGTCGCGGGCCTGTGCCCACCTCTCCCTGTCGACCAGGAGGCTCGCCGAAGGGCCCCCCCCCGCGGACAGCGACTCTGCTTGACCCACAAAAGGGGGTCCGGCTGAAAGGGGGCGGTGCGACAGATTTGGGGCAATAGATCTGTGGGGTTGCAACCGATTTGGGGTGTGCAGCACATTCTGGTGCGCCAGTGCATTGCTGGATCATCTTGCGCAAGACATCAGATGCAAGACAGTGCAATCCGTTCCTCCGTCGCCATACATTTCCACCACGAGTGCCCCAAACCTATTGCACCACCCCGTTTCAGCTGGACCCCCTTTTTGGGTCAACCACAGGGACGGGGCAGGCGCGCGCGGCCCCCCCCCCCCGGGCCTGCCCTCGCCGCCGCCGAGGGGCGATGGCGGCGATGCTGTGGCCGCACCTCGACGCGCCCACCACGGGCGCCCCGCTGCTCGAGGCGCGCTCTCCCTGCCCTGGCTGGCGCCGCCGCCGGCGTCGGCCGCGGCCACGACCCTGCTCAAAGACGGCGGTCGACGCCGGCGGTGAAGGCAGCCGCGAAGCATTTGACCCTCCTCTTTCTTCTCCTGCTCTTTCTCCTCCTCCTCCTCCTCCTCCTCCTCCTCCTCTCGCCGCCGTCGGCGCGTCGGCCGCGGCCGCGATCCTTTGCAAAAACGGCGATCGAAGGCGTCAGTGAAGGCGGCCGCGAAGCCAGATCCATCAGGGCGGCTTTCCTCGATTGGGGCCTCCGGTCGAGGGTTTATCGAGGGAGGGTTATCCCAAGGTGGGGCTTGGGAACGGGCCCAGCTGCATGCTCCTGTTTCACGCGCCTCTTCCAGGGGCCGTTCGGAGCGATTTTCCTTCAGACCCCACCTTTGCCCCAATCCCACCTTTGTGCCCCCCCCTCCGATCCAGGACCAGGAGCCCGTTTCTTGATTGCTTGGGGCATGGCGGGCGTCACGGCCCCCGCTCCCCCCCCCTTTGACGTAACGCTCCCCCCCCAGTGCGCTCTGGGCATTGCCGCCGTGCGCATTGGGATCCGCGTAGGCGTCCGCGTAGGAATCCGCATAGGAGTCTACTCCGCAGTCGTCGTCGTCGTCGCTCGTGGCTTGTCGCTTGTCGCTCAAAGTCGTCGTGCGCGCGGACGCGGCTGAAGCTTGTTTTCCTCTTCTGGGCCGATGACGGCAATCATCTAGGGGGGTGGAGGGGGTCGATGACGTCACGTTTCGCGCCGGCGGCGTCTGGGAATGCCCAGGAGTGACGGAGGACGGGTAGCGCCAGCATGTAGGTGGCGATTTGCACCACAACGCCCGTGTACACCACAGTGCCTGCGCGCACCACAGCGCTTGTGTACACCACACCGCTTATGTACACCACAGCAGCCGCGCGCAACACACAACAGTTTGTGCCACCGTGCCTGCTGGCACAACAGCTCTTGTGCACACCACAGCGCTTGCGTACACCACATCAGCCGTGTGCAACACAGCACCAGTGTACACCACAATGCCTGCGTGCATTGCAGTGCCTGTGTGCACCACGGCGCGCGTGTGCACCACAGCGACCGTGTGCAACGCATCACCACTGTTGTATATAGAATGCGAGAACGAATCCTTATGACAAAATGAAACGCTTGTGGATTCCACAGGAAAGCAATACAACATAATCCTTATGGACGAGTCCTCCCGAGTTCTCCCGCATCACCCTAACTCTTTCCATCTGCGTTCAGGAGGCTCCAGCGAAATTGGCCGTCCGAGAACCACGTGGACCGATTCAATCGACCATTCTTCGGTGCGCGCTGAGATGCGCACGTGCGCTGTAGCGCCAGCTTTCACGACAGGGGGTGAGGGTGAGGAGGATGAGGAGGATGAGGAGGAGGAGGAGGAGGAGGAGGAGGAGGAAAAGGAGGAGGAGGAAAAGAAGGAGGAGGTGGAGGAGGTGGAAGAGGAGGGGGATGGGAATAACGTCGCATTCGATTATCCGCACTTTCTGGGCGTGGTGTCTAGTTGTCCGCAGCAGATCCTCACGCACATGCTCCTTCTACCCGTCCTATGCGCGCAGGCATTGTGGTGTACACCAGCGCTGCGTTGCACGCGGACGCTGTGGTGTAGACGCGCGCTGTGGCGTGCACAGGCGCTGCGGTGCACGCGAGCACTGTGGTGTACACAGGCGCTGCGTTGCACATGGTAGCTGCGGTGTGCACATGTACAACGGCGAAGTAGTGTACGCAAGCACTGTGGTGTACACAGGCGCTGCGTTGCACACGGTTGTTGCGGTGTACGCAGGCGCTGTGGTACACACGCGCGCTGTGGTGCGCGCGAGCGCTGTGGTGTTCACAGGCGCAGTGGGGCATATCGCCACCTAAATGTTGCTCGCGTCGTCGTCGTCGTCGTCGTCGCTCGTCGTTCGTCGCTCGTTGCGTCGCGCGCGCGGGCGCGGCTGCGGTGCCGGAGCCACACGGCGGGGGGGGCCGTTACGTCATACCCCGCCCTTCGCCCCCCCCCCCATGACGCCTGTCGTCGCCGAACATAAAAAAAACGCGTTCCAGTTCTTGGGGCCGTGGGGCTGTCACGAATACGGCGGGGGCGAACAAAAATTGCCCAAGGGAGCAGGCCCACCTTTGTACCCCCCCGATATGGGGCCAGTTTGGGGGGCCCTGGGGCCATCACGAATGGAGCTGGGGCGAACAAGCGCTGCCCCCAGGGAAAGGGTCGGGACCCTTGGGAGTAGGTTCGGTAGCTATATTACAGGAGGTCCATCGAGATAACCAACCGACATCTTCTTGGGGGCAAAGATTCAGCAGCAAACTCAAACTCCCCCAAATATTTAGAACATCTCTAAGCCAACACGTGCGTGGAAATCTCAAAAGTAAAACAAACTCTTAGCAATTCCCAAGCCAGCATCAGGGAAAATCTCAACCAGGAAAAAACTTGAAACCGAAACTCCAGAACAACTCGAAGCAGGGAGATTGACAAACAGATGCTTGGTGCTCGGGCGGCCATATTGTTTCTAGATGTGTTTAGTCTGTGTTCGACGTTGTTTAAGTTTCCTGGACCGCCTGGGTTTTGCATTTAGAGTTTTTAGAGTTTCCCCAGAGTTGCTTGGGAGTTCGCCTGGCGGACAGAAATTTGTTTAGAGTTGTTTGAGGTGTTCTGAGTGATTCCCGAGTTGTTTTTAGAGTTTTTTGAGTTTTCACGCGTTTGGATTGTTTTGGATATGTGTTAGCGTTTGTTTTAGAGTTGTTCGGCGTTTCGAGTGTGTTAGAGTGTTCCCTAAGTTTTGCTATAGTTGTTTGAGAGTTGTTTTTAGATTTGGTTTAGAGTTTGAGATGTTCGCTGGTTTTTGGTGAGTATATGTTTCTAGGTGAGTTCTAGATTTTCGCCGGTTTTCGCTTGGATCTATTTTCAAGTTTTTTCTTCAGAGTTTGAGATGTTCGCAGGTTTGACGTAGAGATTGTTGGAATTCATTCTAGAGTTTGAGTTTTTCGCAGTTTTTGGCTTAGAGATTTTACGACGTTTTTTTAGAGTTCGAGTTTCTTCGCGCGATATGGCGGTGGACCGCCTGTAGTCGCTACTGCCGAACCGAACTCTGGGGCCGCGGACTGAAGTACTGCTGCTGGCGGATGTCACGGAGACGGCCGCCGCGTGCGGCGGGAGCCGTCGCCGCCGCCACGACGCGAAAAGGCACGTGGAGGACGGCCACGAGGGCGGCCACGCCGGCGACAAGGGCCACGGCGGCGGTCGGGAGCCTTGAGACGGGGGTCAGTGCAAACGGGGGTCAGCCAGAGCGCCCGATCTTGCAGGATCCTGCAGGGCTGGGGTCGCATTGACCCTGGTTTGGGCGCAGGATCCTGCAGGAGTTTGCAGGATCCGTCGCGTTCACCCGGGTTTGGGTGCAGGATTTTGCAGGATTTTGTAAGGGCTGACTGACCCGGGTCTGGATTGACCCGGGTCAGAAGATCCCCTAGGCGGTGGCGACGGCGGCGACCACAGCACCCTCCCGACGCGACCTTTACTCGGACGGGGCTTGGACGAGGATAAGTCCGTTCGGGAGCGGTCCAGAACGCTCTCGGAGCGTTCCGGAACGCTCTGAGAAGGCTGCGACGCCCGATACGTCCTCCAGAGACGGCAGCGTCGACTCAAGCTCCACTCAAGCTCCACTCAAGTTCCACTCAAGCCGACGGACGTTCGACGCAGCAGCGACGCATGCTCGAAGCGAGTGGCTCCAGGAAGGCCCATAGAACCCGCGTCCGATCCGATTCGATCCGATCCGCTTTTCCGATTCGATCCGATCCGCCTTTGGTTCGATCCGATCCGGTCCGCCTCCGATCCGATCCGATGAGCGATCCAATCCAGCTCAGGCCCGCCTGTCACTGTCACCGCAGCTGGTTCCGAGCTGCACGACGACAACGACCGTGACCACTCTGACGACGACGACGACCGACGACGAGCAGACACGGCGACGACGACCGACGACGACAGGCGACGAGCGATCCCGACGACGGCGGCGCCCGACGGCGGCCGACGACCGACGGCAGCGGCCCGGCCCATGCGCGACAGGCGCCACAGATGCCCGCGCTGCTCGACCCGCTGGTGGTCGCTGCGGCACCCGCGGAGTCTGGCGCGGGCTCCTCCAGCGCCCTATCGCGCGAGCCGGGGGACGTCCAAGAGTCGGGGGCCCCCAAACTGTGGCTGGAGCTGCTGGGAGGTCAGATTCTGATCTTGCCCTGGTTCGAAGTCCGGTAGAATCCGGCTGAGTCCCGCTCAATCCGGCCTGATTCCGCCTAAGGCGGCTTAATCTGGCCTGATCCTGCTTCAACCGAGGCGCACTCCGGCGTAACAGCCCCCCAATGGGGCTGAATCCTCCGTGCTCCTTTCGGGCCGGACGAAAGGGGGGGATTGGGAAAGGGGGGGTTACGAAATTTGCTGCATGCAGTTGGTTTCGGCCTTATTGAGGGGCCCATTCCTCGATACATAGCCGCCTCTGGCGCCGGGAGGCGCCGGGAAAATCAGCTACGTGAGCTGATTCTCAACCCCCCCCTTTGCTATCCCCCCCTTTCGCCCGACCCGATCCTTCCGAGGAAGACCTCCCAGGAGCTGCCTCCGAACCCAAACGGCGTCGTCTTGGGAGGCTTTTCCAGCAGGCGCGCCTCGCCGAGGGGGCGCTCGGGGGTGCCCAGATCCTCCCGAGCGGCCGCCAGGGCCCCGAGGCATGGCCCAGAAGCCGAGCTCTCGGCATCTGGGGGCCATCTTGGGACCTCTTGGGACTTCCTCAGCGCTTCTTGGGGCCATCTTGAATGAGATCGATCAAACAAGAGGGGAGCATTAATCAGGCTCGCCCCCCCTGGAGGCCAAAATGGGGCCAGAACCACGGTAAAACCAATGATTTCGGCTTCCTCGCCGAGGCCGTTTTGGCATTCTCGCCGAGGAGGGCCGGCGTGGAGAGCACGTGGGGGCGCGGGTGCGCCGCACGGTGTGGGGACTCGGGCCGGTCTCTCCGCGGACGGGGCCTCCAGGGCAGCAGGGGCCGTGCGGCGACGGGCCGCGCGGTGGGGCTTCTCGGGGGTCCGAGGTCACCGTGCGGCCCGTCACCGTGCCTTCTTGGGGCGCCGAAGTCCAAGAGGAGGGTGCTGACGTTTTTCACCGACCGCGTTGCACTGCTCGCACAGTGCCTGCCTACTCGCAAACGTCCGAAGAGCACGTGTCTGCCGACGAACTGTATCGACAATCCCCCGCGGCGAAGCCAAGCAATTTGCGAGCAGCTACTTTGCGAGTAGTGGAACGAGCATGTCGAGCTTTCGTCGTCCAAGGGGAGGCTCGGGCGGGGCAACGACCAGGAATACTCGCTCCTGAGCGTTCCAGAGTGCTCTCAGAGCTTGCTTTTTCGAGCCCTCCGGAGCGACCGCAGCGCTCGATACATTCTCCAGAGCATTGCTCGCTTCGATTCTACCGATTCGATTCGATTCGATTCGACTTCGATGGCTTCCGATTCCGATTCGATTCGAGTCTGGTTTCAGATTTGCGTTCCAATTTCTTATCGGAGACATACTAGCCTGCCGATTTCCATCGATTGGACTTCTCCCGACTCGGCTGCCGATTCCAGCCGATCCGATTCATTTCGATCGCCGATCCGACTTATCGATTCGATTCTGGGGTCTCCTGCCAGAACCGCCCGATCTCAGAGATCCCCCACTTTGGCGTTTTCGTCGTCGAAGGAGGGGGGGGCGGGCGGGGCCACGACCAGGCGTAATCGCTCCGGAGCGTTCCGGGATGCTCTCAGCGCTTTCCGGAGCGCTCTGGAGCGACCGCAGCGCCCGATACACTCTCCAGAACCGCCAGATCCTCCTCCTCCTCCACCTCCACATCCTCCTCCTCCTCCTCTTCCTCCACCTCCTCCTCCTCCTGCTCCTCCGCCCACCCTTCTCCTCCTCGGCTTTCTCCTTTCTCCTTTCCCCCCCTCCTTCTCATGCCCCTGCCTCTGCCTTCCTCCCTCTGTAGGTCTTCCCCACCAACGCGGCATTGCCCGGTACGACTTTACCCCGGTCTTAATTTCTCACCATTGTTGAAGGATATGCCCCTCGAAGCTCGAAGGGAACCACCTACATCCCCATCTCGGTGGTAAATCGGCAAGTGGGGCCCAGGCTACGCCAGTGGGGAGAGGGATCGGTGAAGGTGGTGGCAGAAGGTTCCGCTGAGGGTGCCAGGCTCGTCCCGAGCGGCCGCCGCAGGCTGGAGGTTTGGTCCGAAAACCAAGAGGCGTCGCAGGAAGGGGTGAGGACTTGGGGCTGGGTGGATCTTCAGTAGATCGAAGAAGCAAAACGCCATAACCATAAACTTCTGGCGCTCCGCACCGATTGCGCCTCTGGCGCCGCCCCTGGCGCGTTCCGCACGCCAGGGAGTGAGTTCCAGCGCGGACCCAAGAAATCCGCGCGGAGCGCCAAAAGTTGTGTTTCTTGCGTTTTTCTTCGTCTAGTAGACACCCATGCCAAGAAACACCTTGCTTGCCTCCAGGGTGCCTTTGGTTTCTTGGGTTTTGATGGTTTTGCCATGTGAAGCGTGACGCTCCCACACCAAAAATCTATGGACGTCCTGGGTCTCAGGGTTGGGTTTCTTGTGGAAGGTTTCTTGTGGTCGGGAACCTGCCGTATCATGGACGGGGCAATGAGATCGCCCCGGATATCATGGCCCCCTCTTCTGCTTTCAAAGTTTCAGCTGGCTTCAGGCTTCCCAACTGATGATCTCTGAGTAGACGGGGTCGGTGGGTCGCGCTTCATCGCTGGTGCATCGGCGATGCGGCTCGACGTGGAGCCTGATTCTCGCCCCGCCGACGTTGCCGATGCACCGCCGACGTCGCGGATGCATCACCGATGCGTCGCCGATGCTTCGGCGATTTGGTGCCATCTTCCGACTCCATCCTCTCAGCCCCATTTTCCGATCCGCTTCACTGCTGGCGATGGGCCGATTGCTTTGGCCTTTTGGGAACCAGCTGGCGGTCTAGGGCGCCATTTCATGGATGGTGTTAACCAGAGGACCTTTACGTAGCACCCCGCAGTTGCGACCAAGAGTGAGGGGGCGGCGGGGACGTCGGCAGTCTGCGAGGCTCTGAGGAAGTCCGCCGCAGGCCCCGACGTTTTCGTGAAAGGAGTCTTGGTGGGTCGCGGGGTGGGTCGCAGGTAGGTCGAGGGTGGGTCGCGGGTGGGTCGCGGGTGGGTCGCGGGCTGGGTCGCGGGTGGGTCGCGGGTGGGCCGTTGGTGGGTCGCGGATGGGTTGCGGGCCAGTTCGCGGGTGGGTCGCGGGGCGGTTCGTGGGTGGGTCGCGGGCTGTCGCGGGTGTGTCGCAGGCTGGTCGATGGGCTGGTCGCAGGTCGGTCGCGGGTCGTTCGCGGGTGGGTCGCGGGCCAGTTCGCGGGTGGGTCACGGGCGGGGTCGCGGGGGGAACGACGCTAACAGCATCAACAATCATTTTTCAGATTCTTCGCTCATTTAAACAATCAATTCGTCTATCCCAAACCCTCGGTACCCGCCCTCGCCGTCTTCGATCGTACCCCCTTCGGGGTACATCGTCCTTACCTGCCACGTGCATGTAGTGCATGCCCTAAACAAGAGAAGAGAAGACGGGTGGAAGGGGGAGGGAGAATAATGGAGCACGAAACAAATGCTTCACGCTTCGCGTATCCCCGCCGAGGTGCCGCGTGAGGCTCCGCCCCACCGCTTTCGGTTTAATTCGTCTCTGCGTGGCCCGCTCTGACTCGACTCGCCGCTGGCGCGCTCGCCTGCGGTTGCCGACACAAGTATCCCCACCAGTTTTTTTTCTGAGTGGGTGCCCGCGCGCTTACTTTGCTTGCGTCTTTGTTGCTGCTTAGTCGCGGCTCGGCTAGTGTTCGGACGGCGTTCGACCTGCTTCGCGAACCCGCAGCCCAAAAAAAGTAGCCTCACCAGTTTACACCAGTCCTCTACCGGAAGGGCTTGAATGAGGAACCCTGGCAAAGCAGCTTAACAACTCGCTAAGGGCGCTCCTTGCCGCACCCGCTTTCCTTCCTGTTTTCTACTTTGTTTCTGGCCTCCACCCGCGCGCCCTCAGCCCTGCACGACATCCCAACGATTCCCAATCTGCACGACAGGAATATGTGGAGCCATAGAGGGTTTATCTATGATGTTATGGTTGGAACTGACGCCGGCAATCTGACATGCAACATTCTCTGGGCGTGCCTGATGCGTGCGGTCGGGTTTGGCCACAAGTGGGGCGACGACAGCACCTCGCTCGCAGTGGCCAAGCCGCCTGAAAGACCAAAAGCTGCTTACAGAAGCGCGCATCCAAAGACCGCCAGGGCTCGCCAGCTGGCATGAACAAGCAACTACCCACGGTATGGAGTGCCACGACGACACAATGTCCAATGCATCAACTTCATCCAGGGATGGACGGCCTGGAAAACATCATCAAAGACGACTGCATGCCTGCTGACCCCACCGCGCGTGCTCAGACCTACACCGCCCTCGTGATGACGATGATGATGCTAGCGCTTCGGAAACCAACGACCTGCCTCTTTCCATTTTCCGAACAAGAGGGGGCAGGTGATACCGTGGAAACCGTCCGTCCTGGGCACATGCAAACCTGGCAGCCCAACTGGCACCACATTCATTTCCGGACGCAGTTTGGCCTGACATGGAAGTTTTCCAATCACGACTACCAGAACCTGCATCGGAGATTCACTGACGAGGTAGGACACCCGGGCGTGCTTATAGCTACCAGCCACCATCACGATGTCTCGAAACAAGCAGGGTGTCCGTCAACGTGGGAAGATTGCAAGCGTACTGACTTTCACATCGCAGGGTTCTTGATGGTGATCGACCAGCTCATCGAACCGCTCCAAGTACCGCTGGCTCCTACCAACGACCAGCCTGACAACGAGACAACCAGTTGTACCATTTGCTGGCTCTACACATCGATCACAGGGAATCGCAAGCATGTCGGGCGCACGCCGGACCAGAAGCTGCGCCGTGCCGGCACAGGGCGGACGATGGACCAAAAGGACCTTTTCATACCTGAACCCCTTACAGCGAAACTGGGCGCCACAGTGACACCGAAAATGCTCGGAACAGCACACCAGCTCTTCTTGGCATCGCAGAA